ATACACACACAGGCACATGTGAGCATGCAAACACACACACACACACACAGGGACATGTGAGCATGTGAACACACACACATTCACACACAGGCACATGTGAGCATGCAAACACACACACACACACACAGGGACATGTGAGCATGTGAACACACACGCACTCACACACAGTCACATGTGAGCATGTGAACACACACGCACACTCACACACAGGCACATGTGAGCATGCAAACACACACACACACGCACACAAATGCCATAAAAAAAAAAAAAAACACACAATTGTGCACAAAAGAAGTTCACTCTTGATGTCAGGTGCTGTAAACGCCCTGTGGACTAATTTAGGTTAAAAACATCACTTCACAAATCTTTATGTTCCCTAAAATTATTTTTCAACCCAGTGTAGAGCTATTGTCCTCCTCCATTTCACTTTGTACCTGTTTCTTGAGCACTTGCGGTAAATATCGACGTACCCATTTTCTGCTGGTTCATTATTACTAAAATCCTACATTTTCTTTTTCAACTGGATGACAACAGAAAAAAGTTCTGGGCGCTATTCCCACATTGAAAAATCATGGCCACCTTTACCTGGGTTAGGTCTTTCAGGAGCAGCTCACGCGTTAAACCTTCACAACCAAGTGGGCAGAGTGGCCTTTACAGAAAGACGGCAATTAAAGCGCAGCACACCCTTAGCGCACATCGATATACCCGGAGCGTGCAACACGGGCAATACGCCCTCCCATAATGCAAGGCTCGTAAGATACAGAAAAAACAGATACCGTAGCAGGTCAGATTGGCTGACTTAGTAATTACATATAGCTGCAGTTACAGAGGATTGCACAGTTACATATGCAATTATATTATTATTCATTACCTCTTAAATAAAAAACTGTTCCTAAAATTCCATTAAATTGCAGATAATTGAGTGCATTTAATTATAAGCAGCAAGAGGAAGTTTGGGACAAAGTACTAATATGTGAGGTGACCTAGATAGTGGTGGAGACACTTTGTTTTAACAATGACCTTGTTCCGAGCCCAGAATAACTTGAAATAAGTCAGACGTCTCTTTACAGTAAAGCGGCCGCTGATTCTAAGGGCCGCAGCGGCCATACAGAGCATCACGGGGACAAGGAGCTAAAGCTATTTTTGTGCCGTGCCAATGAGATTTTCGGGGGGGGGGGGGGCACCAACAGCTGAAGTTATTAAAAGCTGATATCGGATTCCAAGTGTGTCAGCATCTAATTTGTAATTAATATGGAAGTGGAAGCCGCCATTCTGCCCGGGCAAACGCACAGCGAAGAGAGGGTGCGGCGCAGCTCTCAGGGAGCGTGTGACACAGCCGGGACTGTGCGGGGGTGACGCGCGACTATCCGCGACCCCAGCCCATGTTGGGGGGGGGGTGGGGGGGGGCACAGGGTCAGGAAAGTATGAAGGAGGGGAGTAAATTGCTGTGAATCCCCAAGATCAAGGTTAATTCAACAGACACCGTGTACCCAGCACCCCCACCCCCACCCCAACCAAGTCCTCTGCAGCTTCGTCACACTACATTACTCCTGACCTGACGGGGGGATCGGGGGGGCTTGATGCTTGACTTGAAAGACGAGAGACAAGGGGGGCAGGTATGTCACTTAATGAGAGTAGAGACAGGTCCTGGTGCACTGCGTCTTGGAGGGACAGACCACAGTCGCTGCCTGCCATCCTCTACATGACCCCCCC